ATATATATATGGCACTGTAAGTGTTGTGCTTGCCCGTGACCAGGAACTTACTGCTGTCGTATTGAATGAGGCGTACAGATACCCTGTCCAGAGGCCATTTTAACGAGGCCACATAGTCTACCTGAAATTTTATATTCCTGTTTACCATATATGCTTGTAATTAGTTTTTCGAAGGGAAATTTTCCTCTTTGTGCTAATAAACCTTGTTCTTCATAATTGAATTTGGAGAGATACTGTGACTGTGGTGACAGGAACTGAGCACTGTGTGTTAGATGACACCAGTGTCAGAGACAACAGTCCCCTTTTAGTAAATCTCATGACCAGAAATAAAGCCAGAAACACACTATCCTCCTGAAGAGCCAATACCACCCTGTTCTTTTAAACTGCAGCCTAGAATGTGTTCTCAGTGTGGTGGTGTTCACAGTCAGTGCTAGAGGAAAAAGCCCTGAGTCTTGTGGCATCTTTGATATCACAGACGTGTGACTTGTATTGTTCTCATTTGAAGGAGTAGAACCCCAAGTATTATTCTGGGCTCCTCACTGGTCTGTGATCATGAAAAATCACCTGGGTCCTCCCCAGTTACTCAAAGGATCTCCTGGGTCAAGTAATTCTTCAGGGACCTATGGAGTAGGGGGATTGGCCGGTTGGGGGTGGGGGTTGCTGCATTAGGGAGAGAGAAGAGATCCTCCGTGAATACTGTTACTAACAACTAAGGGTGTCACATTGGACTAGAAATGACTTACACAAACAGGAATTGGCAGGAAGTTTCATACACTTAAAAACAAGTTTTTAAAATTCAAGGCCGAAATGTTTTTCAATCTTGTGTAACTGGGGCTCTTTCAGCTTGCTTTTGGTTTAAAATTAGTGTCACTCACAACTTAGAATACCACCAAGGTTACCTTGGTGATGATCATGTTAAAGACAACTGTTTATAATGTCCCAGGCAACTAATGTAAACACAGATATGTATCTTGCCTAATTGGATAAGCAAGACACACTACAAATAACAGCAAACACAGACATTGGAACTATGTTGTAACTATATATAACTATGTAAATACACACAGCTACTTACTTATTTAGATAGAATTTTTAAATGAGTACCCTGGGAAGCAATTATTAAAAACACGTATGCTACTTCATAAGGAAGAGTGTTGTGTCATGAGAATGGAAAAGCATGCTCTGGGCCCCATTGTAGCTTTGTCTAAATAGTTCAGCTTCCTTGTCATTACTAATTGTTTTCATTTTAACAAAGAAAGATGTTTTCTTCTCCCAGTCACATGGCAGTGTTAAGAATCTGCCCACGGACTCACATTCCCAGCACACACAGATGCTAAGACTTCTTCCCCCCCCCCTCCTTAAGCTTTATCCAAATTGTGGGTGTTGCTGAGGGGAATGTTTGATTTCATGGAGAGAGAATGTGCCTTTGCTTGAAACCTAGGACACAGCTCTTCCATCTTTGGCTTAAGTGGGCTGGATCACAATTTTTCTATGACCTCTACTGTTCATTCTTCATAATTGGAACTGGAGAAGAGAAAGTAGGTCACTGCTGGGTGCCATCCCAGGTGGGTCTTGACTTTCACAAGCGCAGTTTTTAAGAACCCATCTCCCATCACAGCCTTACTTAGTCATTGGGTAAAAAGCATGCCATTAAGTGAATTAAACTGAGAATTGCTTTTAGTTAAAATAGCAGGATTTCTGGGTAAATCCATTTCTCAAACTTTCTGTTCCTTTCACATGAGAAATGTTTCTGGTGGGTCTTGGTCCGTGGGAGAGAGTCATACACTTCCACTCCAGCAGTCAGTCAGAAATTTGACTTTATTTCCTTCTGCTTTCTTATCACTGCTAATTCTCCTCTACTGGCTGTCAGCCTGTGAAAACTCCGTGGGTGTTCAGTTAATCGTTTTGGCACAAATTTTGATCCAAATTAAGAAATCCAAGTAGCTCTTGAATTTAGACTTTCCATCTGCTGTCATACCTTCTTCCTCAACCTCTAACTCAGGAGAGGCCCCATTTGCCAGCTCTGCAAGAACAGAATCCATGTGACAGGTGCTGTGCAGGTGGCAGGAAGACAGGTATTTGTGTGGGTGGCCTGGCCTCTCCTCTATGAAGCACCAGGAGGTCCAGAGCAGCTCCCAGCACATCCCATACTGGGCGATAGACTTGCCAGAATAGGCAAAGCCTGCCCTGGGGTCTGCCCTTCCAGGAGGCTGTGCACAAAGGACCTTTGAGAGTCTCTGTGGAAGAGGAAACAGGGTTAAGGAGGTTGCAGTGTCAGCCTGAAATTTGAATTTCTTTCCTTGGCTTGGTTTCCAATTATTCTTAAAAGGGAATTTTCTGTCTGGAGCAAACTTGCAGAGGGAAGAGAACATTTGTGCAGAAAGAGATGTTCTTGGCAAGCTTGGGCTCTGTGTCCTTCATGCTGCTGAGTGTTTCAGTGCAGTGCTTTTCTTTCCTTGTTTTCTTTATAGTCCAGTTTCCCCTGTTGCCAGTCTACCATGTAAACAATCAGTAATAGTTGGTGTGCACATGCACATCCATATACTAGCAAACACTGTTCATATTGACCTTGAGTTACTCTTTCCTGGTATCCAAAAGCCCAGGATATGCAGCCTCTTGCAAACATAATTTCTTTTCACCTTGAAAGCACTGCAAAAATCTAAAAATATTTTATTGAAATCAAAATTTATATCACATATTATTAATAATAAAAGGGAAGGTGACTCCTTTGTCCAATGAATAGATACTAATCAAAAAAGAAAATTGGAAAAGATTACAAAATTGCCAGTTTGTACAAAATGGGTTTGATTATGATATTTTCACACATATATAATTTACTTTGACCATATTCACACCCCAATTACTCCCTCTTTTTTCTCCCTTTTAAAAGTTTTCTGATGGTCAAAGGTACCATTATTTTCATATTGCTTTTACCTTTTCTATTTAATCTTGCATTAAAAATTACCATTTCTTTGAACAAAGGAGTCACCTTGGCTGGTTGTATGACCTCTGTCAGTCCCTGTGGCTGTCTAGATTACGTTAAAATTCACCTATACAACTTGCTGTCATTGTAAAAACATCCTTTCAGATATATTTATATAAACATCTCATGATTATCAGTGACATTACAAAAATTTCTTTAAGGGAAATCTGTCATTATTTATTTTGTTTCCTCTAGAAGTTAGGATAAGCTAAAGCTCTGAAAACCATTCAAGGCTAGAGATGGAACGTTTGGAAAACAACCTGTCTCTTGACACTTTCAAATCATTCCTGAGTTAATAAAGGGGTAAACACAAATTGCTTACCTCGTTTATTTTTCAAGTCACTATTCAAGTGATCACTGGAAATTCTTGCAGCATTTTATGTGCCGGTTATCTTTCTTTACCTAAGTTTTGTGTGAGATACTGGTTTCCATTTTAAATCATACTATCATATCTATGCATTTTTGTTCCTAGTAAATGATGAAGTTAATTATGAAGGTGGTAACCCATTATAGAGTGAATTAATTTGAGGAAAGAAAAAAAGTACCTTAGCACTTTTATACGGCTGATCTTGGATAAGTTTGTAAGAGAAGTTCACAGAATGGAGAATTTTGAAATGTCCTTAATTTTTTTAGTAATGTTACCTTAATCTGGCACTTATTTATTATTCTGACAAATTCTCTCTAGGTTGACTTGAGTTTTTCATGAAATATGCAAGGAAGCTAGGCTGCCAGTGGACCAAGGATGCTCAGGGAGCTAGATGAGAGTTGCATACTACCTTAGGCAATGTGTTCTGCATATGACTAAATTAACAATGCCTAAAAATGATCTCATCAAAATAAAGCATGACTAAGTAACAGTGTCTTAAATTTAAGAATCAAATATATCTTATATAATGTAAGTCGTAGGTTTTCTGATATGCCAACATTATATTCCTTTGTTATAAAGAAAATGGGAACAATGCATTGTTATCTGTAGTTGCCTTCATAAAAAATATTGGCAATAGAAACATGATCATGAACATTAACCCAGAAAGCCATTAGATAACTCGGTTTTTAAGACTGTCATCTGGAAAGAGGTTCACTCTACTTCATAGTGACTGGACACTTACATTAAAAATACAGAAAATATTTAACATTAACCACAGCAAGTTTGATGATCACATAATTCTTTTTTTAAATATTTTATTTATTCTTTTTATTTTATGTGTATGCGTTATGCGTGTATTGCCTGCATGTAGGTAAATGCACCCATGTTATGCAATGCCCGCGGAGGACAGAAGTGGCTGTCAGATCCCCTGGAACTGGAATTACGAACAGTTGCTAGCTGCCATGTGGGTGCTGGGATTTGAACCTGGGTCTTCTGCAAGAATAGTCAGTGTTCTTAACTGCTGAGCCATCTCTCCAGCCCAACACATTATTCTTTCTTTATACATTAAAATGCAAAGCTGTTCATTAGAAAGAGTCTAGATGGGTGCTAAGTCCATCTGTATTATATGATGCTAAGGCAGAAAGCAAATCAGCCTTTAAATATTGCTAATTCATTTAAAAGACCAAAAAAGCATTGTGCAAAACATTTTTCTAAACCACTGGTTCTTTTCCAGATATCAATGAATGTGAAATCGGAGCACACAACTGTGGCAGGCATGCTGTCTGTACCAACACAGCAGGAAGCTTCAAATGTAGCTGTAGTCCTGGGTGGATTGGAGACGGCATTAAGTGCACAGGTGAACTGGAAAAATAGCAAATCACTTTTCATGAACTCCATAGATTATAATGTGAAAATATTAATTTTATAAGGTAAAATTTAACATGTATGTTAGTGAACATAAATACCACGTTATTAACAGTGATGTAACTTTTGTCCTTTAAGATTTGGATGAATGCTCCAATGGAACACACATGTGCAGCCAACATGCAGACTGCAAGAACACCATGGGGTCCTACCGCTGCCTCTGTAAGGAAGGCTACACGGGAGATGGCTTCACATGTACAGGTAAACTTGCTGAAAAAATCTGTAACTCTCATTCGAAAAGCACAGTATTCCACATCTTTCAAACCGACAGTTCTTTTTGAAGACTGGGGAAGGTCAAGTAAAAGATTACTTGAGACTGGATCCCCATGGAATGAAACTTTGGAGGCAGGTCAATGAGGGAGACCACAAAAAAACTACCATTTTTTTCCCTTTCCTTCTCCCCCTCCCCCAACCCCTCTCCCTACCCCTCCTCCTCCTCCTCCCTCTCCCTCTCCCTCATTTCTGACTTTTCATAAACACACATATATACGTATATGGGCACAACACATACACATATACATGTCCACACATATATGTATGTGTATACATACATAGATCACTCCATATAATAATGTCATTATTCCTAAGCAAATCGCACTTCCTTCTACGTCTTCACTTTTATATTTTTGCACTGCTTTATCACTGGTGACTTGCTTTCTGTAACAAATCCAAGGATGAACTTGCTGCAGAAAGATCTGTAAGGGAAGAGGGTGAAGGCTTTTGATGAGGAGAATATACATGCTCTTCTCTTGCTAGCTGTCATAATCATCACCATCTCTGTATATTGGCATAAGCAACAATTGCAGAACTGCTTTGTGAGGGATCCTTTCACCCTATAATATATTCATGACATTTTCTTCTTAGCTCCAATTAAAAGTCAATAGAATTAAGGCAAACTGCCACAAGCATTTAAATGTACATGTTTAAGATGGGATTGTATAATTCATGCATACTTTTTATGTCAGGGCTTTGGGATTGAATACCGAATAGGTCCATTACTCATTGGCCATAAAGGAGTATAACTACTCATATGACTTAAGGCATTATTTTAAATTAATCAAATAAATTAAAGCATCGATTTATCTCTAGCACAATGTTATTACTAAGACAGTATCACATACATAGGAAAGAGGCTGAGACCCATTGGTGATTCACTTGGAATTCATGGAAAGCTTTATCATTGCTGAGATCATTTCTGCCTAACCCAGCAATATTTGTGCCATTACTTTAGAGAAAATATTTAAATTACATTCATTAGGCATTTATGGTTCATGTGTGTGATATTTAATGCCTATGATTATTCTAATGCCCTTCCTTTGCTCTCCCTTTAAGCTGAGCCTGAAGCCTGAGAAATGGATATGAGCCATGACATGTTCTTTCTGTCTGAATGTGCCCTCCCCGTGGATGGCCCTTCTTGAAAAGATCATGGTCTGAATAATGAGCTTGACACATTATTCATGTCACAGCATTAGTGATAATTTAGCAGTTATAGAGTTCTGAGTCTGAACTCCGTGTTCCTACATGTTCAATATTAACATTCAAAAGAGAAAAAAACAGTGAGTTTAAAGCTATCAAGCAGAAGTTGTGATGAAGTGCAGCTATACTCAGGAAGTTGGCAGTTATAAAATTCTAGGACCTGAGGCACTGGAAAGCTCTTGACTGCAAAAACTAACGTGTGTTTCTATGCATAGACTTGGATGAGTGCTCTGAGAACCTGAACCTCTGTGGCAATGGCCAGTGCCTCAACGCCCCCGGAGGGTACCGCTGTGAATGCGACATGGGCTTTGTGCCCAGTGCTGATGGGAAGGCCTGTGAAGGTAACCATGGGGAACTGCTGGGAGCCTTGCAGGGCTGGATGAGATTTGGTTATTCAAACATTCCTGGCTCTTTTTCTCTTTTAAGCCTGAGGTGTGTTTTGCCTTCGCAGTTAAGCTGGTCAGTTCAGTTTGTGGATGGAATGTAATAATTAATATAATGAACCTATGAAATCTAGAATCACCCAGGAGACAAGCATACCTGTGAGAAATCATTAGATCAGATTAACTGGATGGGACCATTCACCTTAATTGTGGGTGGCACCATTTCATGGGTTTGGATCCTGGATTGACTGAAAAAGGAGAAAACAAACTGAACCCTGGCATTCCTCACTGTCTGCTTCCTGACCGTGGGCACAATGGAGCCAACTCCTGCTGCCATGACTTCCCCACCATGAACTATGAGCTAAAAAAAACTTTTTTTTTTAAGTTTGCTTCTTTTCAGTTATTTTGCCACAGCAACAAGAACCTTGTACCACGGGCTAGTTCTAGGGTGAGCCATTTCTGTTTGTGTGGAGAAAAATGTCTGCTCTATTACCAGAAGGGATGCAGTCAGTGTAGGGCAGATGATCTGCAAACTTAGACCATTGAACAGAAAATAGAAAGAATGACCAAGTGCAGTTAATTCAATGCAACCCATTTATCCCTACTTCTGGAGAAAAGAACTCAAAGTATAGGTCCCTTGATGCCTGTTAGAAGATTGTCTATACATACAGAAGTGTGGCTGTTAATCTGTGTCATATTTGGGTGTCTAGAAGTAGAGGCTTCTAGGCAGCAGATAGTTTTTTCCGTATGTGGAATGATATCTTCGGTGTATCTTAGAATGTTCTCCAAATATCCAACATGTGTAAACATAGAGCAGGATTTGAGGAGTCCATCAGGCCACACGCTTTGGGGTGTCTCTACTTAAAGTTCTGTCTTTCTGGGAAGAATTGGTCAGAGAGGAAGAGTCCTAGGAACCTGTTGGCTCAAGATGGACCCAGTTAGGAAACACCAGCTTCTCTTTACTCACACTTGTCAACCTTAAGCACACTGTCGTCATTGAAAATAGTTAAAGCCTAAAAAGATTTCAGTAGAAATAAACAAATGATAGCCAATGACGGAAGTTTAAATGAGGCTGTGATTAATGCTTTTAGCTAATAGGTATTCCTTGTTAAGAGGCTGTGAACTCAGAGTCACTCCAGCTGTGGTCTATGTACTAGTTTCCACATAAATTTTGATGTATCATTTCTTTGTTATGGAACCATTGGAAGTTCCTGTTAAATATGCACCATTGATCTCTTCTCAGGCAAGAAACTAGATTATGATATTGCTCACCCACCTAATGTGTGTTTATTTCTGTTACTCAAAATCCAATGCTTCTGTATACAAGACAAATCATCTGAAAGTCTAGGGACCTAGTGCCTACATTGCTGTCAGGTAGACTGTATTTTCTTACTGTTTATGTCTGTTGCCTAATTATATTGGTGGCTTCTTGAGTGAAAAAAAAACCTTTAACTATCCCTGTTTTTGTAATTGCTCCCCCAAGATATCGATGAATGCTCCCTTCCAAACATCTGTGTCTTTGGAACTTGCCATAATCTCCCCGGCCTCTTCCGTTGTGAGTGTGAGATCGGCTATGAACTGGACCGAAGCGGTGGGAACTGCACAGGTAAGATACCATTCACATTAAATGCTCCCAGGTGTCCTAGGGGCTGCAGTTGCTAGGGCGTCTCTGGAACTACACAAGTTGCAGGGAAGACAGGCAGATGCAGCATTAGGAATCATAGGATACATTTTTTCAGACCTGAGGCCAATTAAGTATGAAGGTTCAAAGAAAGGAGACAGTTGAATGAATAGAGTTTGTAGCCTTGGACTTGAGCTTGTGGCTCCAAATAAACATTCCAAGATCTGGCTTTATGACTTCTTGAGTCCATCTTCCAAACTCCCTTTCAAAGACTATCCCCTGGGATCCCTGGTGGCCTCCTTGTACACTTTCCAATGTAAGACCCACTTCTTTCTGCCTCTACCCTACTACCTGTCACTGGAGGTTGGTCACGCATTTCTTTCTTTTTTTTTTTTTTTTCCGGTCTTTTTGAGACAGGGTCCCCTGTAGCCCCAGCTGGCCTGGAACTCACTATGTAGACCAGGCTGGCCTTGAACGCACAGAGATCTCCCTGCCTCTGACTCCCAGGGCTGGGATTAAAGCTGTACTTCTTTCTGCCTCTACCCTACTACCTGTCACTGGAGGTTGGTCACGCATTTCTTTCTTTTTTTTTTTTTTTTCCGGTCTTTTTGAGACAGGGTCCCCTGTAGCCCCAGCTGGCCTGGAACTCACTATGTAGACCAGGCTGGCCTTGAACGCACAGAGATCTGCCTGCCTCTGACTCCCAGGGCTTGGATTAAAGCTGTGTGCCACCACGCCTGCCTCATGCATTTCTTTTGTGTGTAAGGGTAGTGCCCTTTCATGTGGATGTGGAGGCCAGAGGGAAAGATGTCACTTTCCATCTTATTTTTTTGAGATAGGCTCTCTCACTGAACCTGGAGCTCACTGGTTGTCTAGGCTGCCTGGCAAATGAGCCCCTGGGATCTTCCTATCTCTGCCTTCTACCACTAGAAGATCTGAACTTTACCCACTGAGCTATCTCCTCAGCCCCATTTAATACATAAGTCATTTTTTTTTATAGAGCAAAGAACTCCCAGGGAACATAAGAAAAAAGGGGGGGGGGCTGAAGAGATGGCTCAGGAGCACTGGCTGCTCTTGCAGAAGACCTGGGTTCGAATCCCAGTATCCATATAGTGGCTAACAACCATCCGTAACTCCAGTTCCAGGGGATCTGAGACCATGTTCTGTTCTCGAGCATTGCAGTGCACTTATAGACATGCAGGCATAACACTCATACACATAAAATAAAATAATAATTTTTTAAAAGGAAAACAATGAAAAGTTACAAGCACCCAGCAGACTGCCACTTGGCTTTCTTTGGCATTAAGACTTTGGAAAAGGGGGCGGTGGAGGGGCGCAAGCAAGGTGGCTGAGGCCGGGGCTGGTGTGGGCCGCCTGGAGGAAGAGGCGCTGCTGCGAAAAGAACGAACGGCTGAGGGCTCCTCTGGAGAAAACCGAGCGCAAGGACAAAGAAGAGGGGGAGCCAAAGACCAAGCAGGTCAAAGAAGGGGAAGAGGAAGGTGAGAAGCACAGGGAACTCAGGCTGCAGAACTATGTCCCAGCAGATGAGGACCGGAAAAGGAAGGAGGGTGCCCCAAGCCAAACCAGTAGCAGTGGGAGAGAAGGTGAAGGGGCAGCTGGAGGCTGCCAAGCCAGAGCCTGTCCTTGAGGAAGTAGACTGGCCAACCAGAAGGCTGATTGGGACTTCAAGACAGACATGGCCAAGAAGCTGGAGAAGCTAGAAAAGAGGACCCAGAGGGCCACCATCAAGCTGATCCGTGAGCGGCTGAAGGCCAGGAGGACAGCGTGGCCTCTGCAGTGGGTTCCACTACCAGACAAGAGACCTGTGACTCTGACTGAGATGTTCTGTTTCCCAGCTGTTCAACACACCTGTTCTATGAGAAGATGGTCTTGAGCAGGACTGGGACTGGGCTTGCCATCTCTTCCAGGTCTTGAGAATTGAGCCAGTTCAATCATGTCTTAACAAGCCTCACAGTGTGAGGCTAGCTCCTTGTCTCCTGAGGTCCCCTACTGCTCAGAGTGGACTGGAGCTGGCTACAGTGCCAAGTGTGCTTGGATCTGTACATATGTATTTTGAACTTTTTATAACTTCTGGAAATAGAGACAAGTAAATCCCTGTGTAGCAGAGAAAAAAAGACTTTGTTGTGGCCAGTTCTCTTAGTCTACTCTTCTGCTCAAGGATACAGAGGAAATAAGGCACATCCTGGAGTACCTCAGGGTTTCAGGATCAAACTTTCATTTCAGCAACCTGAACAAGCCCAACTCACTGACTCTGTAGGTCATGCCCCCACACCTCTCCACACTGCTCTAGACTGAGTATTCCTCCACAGGCAGTATCTTCCCTCCTGGTTTCTAAAAGGTAGTGTCTTACCATGCTGAGACGTCACCTCTCCATGGTCCATACCCTCTTTTCAGCCCCAAACACACCAGCATTTCTAAACCTCATTTCTGTTGGGCTGGCCATGCTATTCAAGGTCATGTGGAAATTGAGTAAAAGATCATCTTTTGTGGAACTCGGGGGAGGGTATTTCCTGAGAACAATGTATCCTGATTTCCTAATCTCTCCTTTTTGAATCTATTTGTATAGTTTGGGGTATTTCTTAAGTGTTCAATTTGACAAAAATCCATGTCCTAAATATCTGGAATTTTGTGCATGTTTTTGGAATAGAAACTGAAAGGGAAATGTTCAACTCAACATCAGTGCAGGGAGGACTCTTTACAGGGTTGAAGAAGCATGCTAAGCCTTGTACACTCACTGTATGTGGGGAAACAGCAGACGTTGCCTGCTCCTAAGGATTCGTTGGGCATCTTGCTCCAATTTGACAAAATAACATGCTGCACATATTAAGTGTGGGTTTTTTTTTTTTTTTTTTGAACATGTGTCTGAAGTTTTGGTTGACTGAAGTCAAAGCAATGTTTTCTCTTCAGGTACCTTGACTGGAATATTTTTCTTAGCGCCAAGGTTTATATTTTATTCTGATGACAAATTTGAATAGTAAATATGTTCCAGGGAGAAACAGAGATCAAAGATTTTGACACAGTTCCTTCCAGGGTGGAGAGGTTATTTCAGAAATGGAAGGTTGCATTTCTAGGCATAATTACAACTATTGTTTTAAAAATTCTTATTAGGAGCCCTAGACTTGGTACTACTGTTTTGTGTGTCAGTCCCACACTGGGCCACTGGTTAAGTCCACCCATCTGTCTGATTGCAGATGTTAATGAGTGTCTGGATCCAACCACATGTATCAGTGGGAACTGTGTCAACACTCCAGGCAGCTACACCTGTGACTGTCCACCCGATTTTGAGCTGAATCCAACTCGAGTTGGCTGTGTTGGTAAGATCGTCAAAGCTTTTCTGAGACCTGTACTGTTTGTTATTTTTAAAGCAGCATTGATCATTTGAAACATTTTCAAAGTTTTCAAAAGTAATAGCATAGAAATTTAAATATTTCTCAAGCATAATTTATACATACAGGTTCCTTTTTGAAAGGAAAATTACCAGTTTACACTCTTGGGCGCTCTTTCGTTTCTTAGTAAATTATGATTGTTAAATATTTTCAGAAATGAATTTGACTTTTCAACCTTCAAGCAGACAGAATTTGGATGACACTTTAATATTGGTTTGTGGTAAATAGATACCCGCTCTGGAAACTGCTATCTGGATGTCCGACCCCGAGGAGACAATGGAGACACAGCCTGTAGCAACGAAATTGGAGTTGGTGTTTCAAAGGCTTCCTGCTGTTGTTCTCTGGGTAAAGCCTGGGGAACCCCATGTGAGCTGTGCCCTGCTGTGAACACGTGTAAGTGGACAGCCTCCAATCTGTTGTTATTCTATCTCAGGCCAGTTCTCCTCTCTAGATCCATAGAGGAGAAGCAGCTGAGGGAGAAAGCTGCCTCTAGGTTTAGACCAGGAAAGGCAGATTATTCCCATTGAAAGTTTGTGTAGGACAGGGAGTGTCACGCTTCTATCCGCGTAAGAAGAGATAGCATTGCTCTAATTTTCCAGGCTAGGTTACTCCATCATGTTGATTACTCTCTTCTTACGATATGTCAGCTAGTCTGGGGAACTGTGGAACAGACCCAGAGAGACATTTAGTTAAGAATTTCATGAAATAAAAGATAGTTCCATTTTTAGAATAGACTTGAAGCTTTAGGATGTGATTTTAAAGATATAGAGAATACATCTCCTTTTAAAAAGGCTTGCTGTCTTTCTGAGTGGGTCTTGTATTTTGATTCAGAATCAGGTGTAGCCTACAAGCAACTGATATTTGTGGATATATTTGGGGTAGATGGTGATTGGTCCAGTCTGCAAAATATTCACTACCTGAGCATAGAAAGATGACCTACACTGGGTCCTGCCCTCCAAGAATACCTAGTCTGCTAGACAGAATGGGACCCAGACATAAGAACTCTGATTCGGCACAGGCCTCAGGCGCCTATTTAACCTTGGGCTAGTTACGTAGCACCTTAGAATATCTCCTAGGATCCAGGGAAATCGTTCAAATGCCCAGCACAGCTTGGCAGGCACCACCTTTTCTCTCGTCTTCAGAGAGGGACTCAGTTGAAGTTGGAACTGGAGTAGTGGGTACTGACCATTTGGTGAAATTTTGAGTTGCACATTCAAAAAAGGGCTTGAGTAAATGAGGAGACTCCAGAGAGTGGGCAGTTCCCCAAGAGAAAGAGTGAAAGAGGAAAACATTTCATTTCATTGGTGTGGCAAGGGGTAAATTGTGGAAGTCAGCTTTATAGATTAATAATGATTATCAGAGCAAAAGGTCACCCAGCTCAACTCTAGAGTAGAATTAGAATGCAAACCTCTGCAAATACACACTTACAAATGTATACATGTGATTTCATACACCCAGAGCAGGGATCAGACTCAGAAAGCCCATCATGATTATGAAAGACTGCTGTCATTATTTAAAAGGATGATACTATAGGCTGGGTCAGTGTCACTTCTCTGCTCCTGTGTGTGGTACATGCTGATGCATGGCCCTGGAAGAAATGCTTTATGTGAAATACTTATGACTTGATGGAGAGATCAAAGGATGTTGGAGAGGGTTGTTCTGGAAATAGGATATTTAGCATTCATCATGTGCAGGGGAGAGGGATGAGAAAGATGTGTAGACATCAAGGGGGCAACGGGATAGGAACTGAGATAAGGGTTCCTAAGCTTGGTTTGGAAAGGGTTTAAGAGACAAGCTGATGATAATTATTAGGGGGACTATGATACCCAGGAAGGAAAGCTGAACATGACAAAATGGAGGTGTGAGTTGGCAGAAAATGGAAAGGGAAAGAAAATCCTTTAAAAGAAGCAGTGCTGGGGATAGGGAATAAAATCCGTCACAAGAATATAAAGCCAGGAGAGTAGCTGCAGGTTTCCCACATTGGGCGTGGTGGCCTTACATTTGGCACACATAGCAGAAACCATTAGAAAAACAATACCTACACAAAGATACACACTTTAAGTGGGTAGAGTAAGAGTTGAAGATTCCAGAAGGTTCATATTTTTAGTCAGATACATCAGCATTTCTCATAAAGATATTATTTCTAGAAATTTTAGTTTCAAAACAACTCACTTGAATTTTTTGTTTCGATAGCTGAGTATAAAATTCTTTGCCCTGGAGGAGAAGGCTTTCGTCCAAATCCCATCACTGTTATATTGGAAGGTGGGTCTGTTTCCTTTGTCTTAACATGCACACGTTTTGAATTTGCTTGGGTTTATTCACAAGGCTGAAGACACGCTTCGTTTTTGTTCTGATAGATATCGATGAGTGCCAGGAGCTGCCAGGGCTGTGCCAAGGAGGGAGATGTATCAACACCTTCGGCAGCTTCCAGTGCCGCTGTCCAACTGGTTACTACCTGAACGAGGACACCCGAGTGTGTGATGGTAAATGTTCCTTGTAGAAGTGCAAATACTGAGCACTGTCTAACCTGGAAAACCAGTATACAGTTACCAATAATTGAAGGGTTAGCAGCCACATAGCACAATGGGTAGCTAGGAGCATAGCCAGGCAAGCATGTTGCATAGGTGATGGCTATAGTAATACTACTGTCCTGATGTCATTTCCAGTCAATCCTGAACCTCCCTTTTTCTTGAGAAAGGTGGAGCTTTATTATGCTGGGCCATAAGAGAATTCCCATGGTCTTTTGGAAAGCCATTTTTCTAGGGTAAGACAGGTCCCACTTCAGTATCTGTGTTCAGGGCATTTACAGGCTCTTTTGTCCTTAATTACTTATCATCCGTACTAGTGTGCTCAGATGAGCCTCCCTTAGAAGGCAGTCCCTTGGCTTTATGATAGATCTTTTCACTGGAAAGATGGAGAATGTTGACCATTTTTAAGTGTCAAGGACCAGGGGCTGGGGAGGTGGCTTTGTCTACATCCAGGAATCATAGGTCTAGTTAGGGAAGAAACATCCTTGCATTCTGCATAAGAAATATCCCCCGGCTCTCCAAAGACATAACAGTGACAGTGTCATTAAGTATTATCTAAGCACTACAGTATAGAAGAGCCAGCTCTCAGATTCACGGAGTTAACAGAGACTCCGATCTGCACACACACACACACACACACACACACACACACACACACACACCCCATTTAGAGGTGGAGAGGGCTACAGGCAGCTCGTCCCTTATTGCCTTACCAGTGCAGACTTACGATGCCAGTTGCTGATGGCTTCAGGATACCTTATATCCTATGAACCTGCGAAGTGTTTTTGAAAGCGATAATTTCCCCACATTTCCATCTTTGTATGCTTTTGAGAACTTTATGGGCTCATTTATTGAGCACTCATATTAGAAGGCAAGGTAAAAGGATTCCTTTGTCTGACCTTTGTCCCTGAGAATTTAGCACAGATAAGGGGTACTTATGCACTGAGCACCTACTTTTCATATCTGGATTTCAGAGGGCTACAGGAGTTCTCTCCTTGGTCGTCAGCATTTACACCGACACCGAGTGCCTACCTCCTCCAAAGAGTGATGCTTTCATATTTACACAGCACTTTCTCTTTTCTGTCATAGATGTGAATGAATGTGAGACTCCTGGAATCTGTGGTCCAGGGACATGTTACAACACGGTTGGCAACTATACCTGCATTTGTCCTCCAGACTACATGCAGGTGAACGGGGGAAATAATTGCATGGGTAAGTGCATGCCCTTCTCAGTTGTGCCGCTCTGGGTCTCCTCGGAAAGGCCGGTCAAGCAGTTGGTCTTAGGTCTCCCATTACTCATCAGAGGGAGTGTTGCCTCCTTTAATAGTCTTAATGAGATCTTCCTCCCTTCTGGACCATCAGCTTGGCATTTTTTCATGACTGTGTGTGGGTAGTTGGGAGTTTTCTTTATAATGTAATGTTGGAAAATCCCAAACAACAGCTTAATACTACTTCTTTTGTTTGACTTGTGGGTGTGACTTTGTACAATTACATCACAGCACTGACCTACAGCATTAAAACATCACGAGTCGGAAATAAGAGACTTACTGCCAAATAGCAGTAGAGAATTGTTACTAGGAGAGTGGGTAGGGAGCCGGGTAAAGTTTATTAATGCTACACCACACTTCATTTTGTGGCACAGAACACCAGGCGATGCACTTCTCCAAGCCTTTTCCCATAGCAGCACAGGTAGCTGAAGAGCTGTGTGTATGGGTAGTTTCCTGCTCTTATCAAAGTTGGCCTACAATGACTCTCAAAGAACTAGCTCTTCCAGTCTCCCTTAAAATCTGTTGCGCTTTTCCCCGTGGGATCACCAACCCTTTCATCCTTCTGTCTTCTAGACATGAGAAGAAGTCTCTGTTATAGGAACTATTATGCTGACAACCAGACCTGTGATGGAGAACTCTTATTCAACATGACCAAGAAGATGTGCTGTTGCTCCTATAACATTGGCAGAGCCTGGAATAAGCCCTGTGAACAGTGTCCTATCCCAAGCACAGGTGACATTTAATTTCATGGCTACCATGCTTTATAAACTAGCTATGAATTACTAGAGAAAATCGGTTTCAGTAAATAGGGAAAAGAGTATGTTATTTTCAGAAGAAAAACTCGACCCATCAAGCCAAACATTTATGTTTGATCCTTCCAGTTGAAAACTGAGCCACATAATATACTTTGTAATTTGTATCTGAATTTATAACCAGACTTATAAATTCAGCACATCACAAAAACATAAACATTGTCAGCGTTGCCTTAGATTTCTCTATAAAATTCAAAGACTAGAAATGTTAGGCAAATCATTATGATAAATAAGTGTACCATGATTATTCATTTTTATTTACTCAAAACTAGTCTTCGGCTGAGGTGATGGCTCTGTGTATAAAAACACTTGCTATGCAAGGGTGAAGACCTGAGTTGGAATCCCCAAAACCCACATAAAAGCCAGACATGCAGTACAAGTGTCTGTAACCCCAGCACCACTGCGGAGAGATGGGAGGTGTAGACAGGAGAATTCCAAGATGCTCCTGGGTCAGCCTAGTATAGGCAACAGACAAACAACCAGGAAGCCTTATCTCAAACAAGGTGGAAGGTGGGGACTGATATCCAAGGTTTTTCTCTAACCTCTACTCACATGCTGTGGAAGAGGGAAGGAGGAAGAGAGAGAAAGAGCAAATAAAAATTGGGGGGACCTTATTGATTCTCCTGACTCGGTCATTGTGTTAATGTCTGGTGTCTATAACGTGCAGCAAAGCAGTTTCCCCAGTCTGTTGAGAGACTGGCTTCTGTGAAGACTCATCAAACCCTAGAACGAGCTCTTGGCACAATGGAGAGAGGTGGTCCTGCGAGAGTCTGGGTTCAGCACCAGAGTATCAAAATCAAACATTAGCTCCTCCAGTCAAGCAGATAGTAACCGGGGTGGTGTGTGGGGAAACCTCGACTTCTCATTATCAGACACGAGGTCACTGTTCCTTCAGTGTCTTATAGACAAGGATACATTGGTGGTTTTTTTTCAGATTTTATTTTAAATTCTTCAAAACACAGATGAACACTTTTCATGACTGTTCGGTTATTTCTCTTAGTGGATTTTGACTCATCCCTGATCCTGGCCCCTTCTTTGTTTAACCGTTGCAGATGAATTTGCTACCCTCTGTGGAAGTCAAAGGCCAGGCTTTGTCATCGACATTTATACTGGCTTACCTGTTGGTGAGTTTGAACCTGTGTATACATGAATACTGTCAGAATGTTCTGCTTTTGTCTTTCTGTTAAAAGTAGGGAGTAGGCACATTATTTTCCCAATTGGCATTTTTCTTTGTTTCTGAGGAAAAAAACGTTAACCAATACCTTTGGCTATATTGAAGCACCAGTTCTTTACTTGAAGCACACTGCTAAACCCTTTACACTCCACCTAATTGATAGCAGCACTTGCTTCTCATGATTAAGGGGATTGCAAAGCTTCTCACAAAACTAAATAAATCAAGCTTAGTTAATCCAATCATAGGTATCAACAAAGGGAGAGATTCTGGTAGCAGGGACAGCTGACATTTGATTTGACCATAGTTCCTAATCTTTCCTTTTGAGTTTAATATGACTTCTGATACTAATTCTTAGGTGAGGGTTGTTCATATAAATCCCCCTTGCCTATCAGTTTGGTCTCTGCTGGCCTTTCTTTGGGTCCTTTGCTTGAAGACTTTCAGGTGTAGAATACAAATTTTTTAAATCTGAGGTCTTGTCTGGGAACTGAAGCGGACCACTGCAGTGATGGAGATGCTTATACTAGATTCAGATGTGTTGCGCAGACATTAGTCAGCATAGGCAACGCCCTTGTGGTGTAAAGCAAATACCTCCAGAGTGGATGGGAAGTCATTGCATTCTTGGAGTGTTTCCTGGTGTGATTGCTAGGCATCCCCAGATGCCCCCCTGGGTCTGAGAGTTGTATCTAATAGCAGACATCACCAGTGCCTTGTTCTACCTTATTCCTAGTAAGTCCGCTGAAATCCACATCAGCCTTTCCAGTGACCTTGTTTAAGAAAACAAGGATCTGGTCCAGCAATTAGCCGTTCTTTCACATGCCAGATCCATATGGTTCCATAGTCCAGTCAACATCCAAAGAAACTTCATGGTTTGGAAAGAAAAATTGTTAAATGACATTGGCGTGGAACACCTGGCCCTAGCTACTCTGTTTTTCCCCTTCCCAAAACAGATCTTTTAATCTGTCTAGAATCTATGATTGGAAGGTAAGTGGCCTCTAACGGTAATGGGTCTCCATGGGCAGTCCAGCTGTGTAACTCAGCGAGGCCTGGCACCCGTGGCTGGCAGTAAGCAAAGACTTGAAATGGCGTTAGCACCATCCACTAGTAGACCTGGAAAGGCCTCAAACCCTGTCTCGTCCAAATGCCTTGCTTTCCAGCTGTAGAGACGGAGGCCCAGAGAAGGGACAAAATTCACCCAAGGCCGCCTAGCTAATTAATAGCAGAGCTGGGACCAGAACCCAGTCCTGACTCAGAGTTTGCTTTGCCCCTAGCTCTGGACAACTAGAAACACGATATTTAGCAATGTACTTATTGTTACCAAATCCCACCATGACAAAATATTGAGATGATTAAAAAGCCCCGTTTTATTTAAGCTTTATGCCTTCCCTCTGAAAGGTCATAGGACTGTTGGCAGATAGAGTCCATTCCTGTGGGACTGAAACTATAGCATGTTTATTAATCTTGTCTTAAAATATAAACTTCTCTAGACTGAAATAAAATCCATACAGGAAAAGAAAAAATTTAGTATTATCTTTTTTGCTGTTTTATTCCTAACAGTGACTAGAGATTTGACTCAGTCTGTCTTTGTTAAACTTGGTACTAATGTATCACTTATATTTAGAACTAATGAATTCAGGTAAAGTATTTCATGTTTTAATCCCCACTGAAAGAATGGATTCTAAACGGTGGCTTTTGTTTGCTGATAATGCATAGCTATGTTGTTACCTCAAATGGTGGTTTAACGTGAACGCCAACCATGTGAAATCTAAAACCAAAACTGCCAGTATTCAAAATAGCAATTTTTTGAGATTGTACCCATTGAGATTTTCTTAAATTACTTTTTTAGTTTAGCATACAAAGTAATGGCTTCATTATGTCATTTTCATATACATTTCATATGTACCGTTATGCTCTGTTCTCATCCGTGCCTCTCCCCCACCCCACTTCCTCCTTTCTTGGTCCCCTTCCTCCGTCCACTCAGTTCCCCTACTGCTTCCTTACTATGTATATTACGTTATCCCCATCCCCCCTCCCTGAAGATCTTTTCCTTACCTTTCACGATCTCCTTTCCAGTTTTAGAACCTACATGTACCCTTTGAGAGTCTAAGGTTTTTGTTTTTTTTTTTTTTCCATTAAGTAGATCAGTTTGCTTTCAAACAAAATCAAGCTGCTGGAAAAAGAGAAACAGGTTGGTTTCAGAATGTAATTCTGAAATTGCCACAGTTCTTACAGGCTTCACTTCAACCTATGGCCCATTTCCTTACAATTGGGGAAAGGAAGGAAGTACCCTGTAGCGCCTCCTGATCACAATAGGAAAACAAAGCGTCTCAACAGCAGTGACAGAAGCCCCATGAACGGGACTTGTGGCTGTAGCCCAGCACTTCAAATGCCCACCCAGAATTTTACCAAGTTCCGTCAAGCAGTTGGTGGAGGGAACCTTCAGGGTAACAAACAGTGATGCTGAATTCCTGGCCTTAAGAAACATTTATCATGACAGTTCTTCTTTAGAGTTGGCTGTGTCTGTCTTCTTTCAGCCCATCCTCATCTGGTGTATCCATGTTTCTCAGTAGATTCAAAACAAATTTGTTGTTTTGCAACAAAACCAAAAAGACAGGTATAAAATCAGCATAGACCCATGAGTGCCCAGAAAGTAGTTTACATGGTTGTTATTCAGTGACTTCTGTTTGTATCATCACCTCTCTCTCT